GGTCAGTGATCTATAAAACAAGGACAACGAAGTATGAAATTATAAAAATACTGGAAAGACAAAGATGGAGTTTTAAGGCATAATACATAAATGGTGAAACTTCATGTAAAATTAACTTAGTTAAAGCTGAAACGATATTTATTTCTTGAAAGCAAAGTAATCTCCGGTAGGATCTTCTATCCAAGGATAATTCTGGGGACATTCCATACAGGTATGTAGTCGAACGGTCTCTCCTGGAAGTTCCCGTGTCGTCAATGGGCAAGCGTTGGGGATACTGCAGTAAGGCTGACCTTTGACCTCACATTTTTCTTTCCATGGGCCGAAATTCTGTATTGAACTAAGCTCTGTGGGACTTTGCATCCATTGGAGAACCTGGGTCATTGTTACGAAGTAAATGTCCTTTTTGTCCAGCATTTCATCCATCCAACTTAGCAGTGCATCCATGAATTCAGGATTCAGCTTGAGAAATCCGGCGTGGAAAAACAGGCCAAGAGGAGCCCTATTGGTAGTATAGTGTCTCTCCATGTTGTAGTTGAGGAAATTGTAGAATTGGTCTCCAGTAATCAGGTTACTACAGCTGTCCACCATAGCACAACCAGCCAGATTTTCATCGAAAGTTGGATCTTCGCGACGGTCCAGCTCATTCATGACCATCTCCCAGACAGCGTGTGAACGTGTAGGACAGTTCTGTCCATTACCATGGCACTTGTGAGGCATGCTGAAGTAGAGGGTGTAGGGCCACAGAGGAGGGTTAGACAGAGGTGCAGTGATGGAGGAGTCGTACAGGAATGCTTGTTCTTCCATCATACGGAACTGAGCGTTACCACCCAATCGCAAGTAAGGAGAACGAACACCAACGATTGAGTTGTCAGTGATATTGGCATATTTTTCCAAGATTAATCTCACTCCTGCCATTTCCTTAGCCCAAGTTTCGAGATTAGCGCTGCTCCAATATGTCTCGTCATCTCGGTGTCTAAAAAAGATGAATCACATTCAAATGCTTACTTAACTTATTGCACGCTATAAGTTATATATTTAAATATACATCCATGCCTACTGTTTATTGCAAAGAATTTAGTAACGCTTTCATCTTAGCATCTTTAGAGATTCAACAAGGCTTTATAAAGTGTGTACTCCCATTTAAAGTAGAACAGTAAGTAACGATAGTTGGTATCACATTTAATTTTTTCTGATTTTGAAAAGAAAAAACTCTTTAAACACTAAAGATTTAAACTTGTTGTTTTTTCTTTTCTTTTACTTTTTAAAATCATTTGGTTGTTTGAATGTCTCAAATCGAAACTCACGTGATGGAATGTGCTGCAATTTCGTGCCCTTTTCGGTGAAATTCCTGAACTGCAGAGTAGTTGGTGTATTTATGTGAAATAAAGAAGGTACCCTTGATTGCACATCCATTAGGATTATTTCTGCCTTCCCTGAAGATTTCATTGTAAATGTCGATATTATTGTTGTTGATAGCGTCATCAAAAGTAATCATGACCATCTGAGGAATATTGTTTGGATCTTTGTTTCCAGGTATTAAAGTTCCGTCAGAAGAACAGAAACAGTCTGGCAGAATACACTGCTTTGTGTCACAAGGAGGCGCTCGGTTAGGATCTGTTTCTTTTGCTAAAGAAAAAAATGGAATTTTTAAATAAAATTATAAAAGAAAATATATTCTTCAAACTAAATTATACAGTTCATAGTTTCTTATTTCTCAACTCTAACCATAATGTTATATCTTATTGAAACACTTTCCGCAAAGTAGTTAGTCCTGACTTTGAAATGTCAATGTACTGCATTTGCAATAGAATTGTGAGATGAAAGAAAATATGAGTCCTTTGCCAAGGACGTGATGAAAACCTTAGAACAAAGAATATTGAAACTACAGGCGTATACAGTTCAAAGTAAATTCAACGCCAGTATTTAGTTTCATTCTCAAATAATACGAAAATCAGTGACAGTTTTAAACGACCGATCTTCTGTTTTATAATAACAAGACACACCAACTTTGTTCTAAAAGAGATTGTACACGAATATTGGCACTGGTATCTCAAAGTTTTACAAAATGAAGCAAAAAATAACAACTTTCCGAAAACCTTAATACAAAAAATTCGACATAATAACTACGAAATGTTGAAAAAATAATCACATTGTTAATTTATTAGGAAACTCGTTATTTACTTAAATGATGACGTGTATGTTTTCATTATATTGAATAGGTAAAGTGGAAGTTTCTATAATAGACAATATTTGACATAAGTGGCATTGATGGTTATGGTGCTTAGTTCTTTGGATAAAACGTTTACGGCATCTTTAAATTATTATTTACAAAGAAAGTAACATATATATATTGTATTGACAATTTTCTAGTTCTAAACTTTCCTTAGTAACCATTTTCATTATGAACAATTCGTCCTCTATTCCTTAAAACATAACCATACGTACTACAAGCGTTTTCGTCGGATCCATCAGAACACTGAGCCTCTCCATCGCAGAACAAATTACGTTCAATACAATCACCATTTCCACAAGCCAGCTGGTTCTCACTACAGATTGGCTCGTCTGTAGATAGTAGAGGTGTGGCCAACCGTGGTTTCTCGACTTGGTCACAGTTCTTTACTTGAGATTTCCAGTCGCAAGTTTGTTTTTCGACATCAAATGCTAACCCCGTCGGGCACCGCAGAGCCAAGAGACCTTGCACTGAACAACGGACCACATCTCGGCAGTCTTCCTTTGTTGTTAGACGGAAATACTCACTAGGAGAGCGTCCTTTACATAGGTCGGCGTCATTCTTAGTGTCAGCATTTCCGGTATCTGCCTGTCTTTTAACGATAGATACGCCTAGTACTAGAAATAAAAACCATTCATTTATGAAATATTGGAACAAAATTGAAACAAACGGCACCAAATACAGTACAAAAAATAAGAAAAAGTCCAAATGACTCTATAATTTGTAAAAACCTAAATGTCAGTATAATTACAAAAACAGTTTACTACATTTTCAATGTGAATATATATTTTCGTAATGGATAAAACGTAAAGACATTCTGAAATTACAGAGACACTCGTTCTTCTTAACCTTAAGAAACGAATGGATTCCGTATACAAAACATATCAATGTAGCTCAAGGAAGAATACTACAAGTTAAAACCATTTACTAGCTTTCAAACATTAAAATAATCACAATTCTTATATATCGTGTTCTTTAGGAGTTTTATATTCTACGCTTTCTCGTTTTTCCTTTGCGATTTTTTCTACAAAAACGTTTTCGCTGTCACTATTTTGATTGTGTATGTTTCTATGATATACAGCATGGTATAAAAAAAATTGTTACAAATTACACTTAAATTTTGTTGTTATAGGAAACTAAAACTAAGTTTTATATTACACAGTATATTTAAAAAAGATTCAAATTCCTATTTTCTCAGAACTATTTCATTCTTAATGTTCAACAAATTTCGGTAGGCCTAAAATTTATGACGAAAATCACAAACAATGCAACCGTTTCTCCCCCTCATTCAGATTCAAAATCTAAAAATAGTATTTAAAATCTTTTTCGTCTTCCATAAATTACTTAGTGCTTAAAAACCCCTTCTTTCAATACTAGAACACGTTAGTAGGGTCTGATGGTCAGAGAAAAGCTTCTCTCAAACGATATTTATATATATACAATACATTGCTTTAACGGACAAATTAAGAAAAATGTGAAAAATATCTGCAGTTTTTCTAAGACAAATTTTAGGCATATTAGTTTCTAATTCTTCGCTAGCTTCCAATGTTTCAATGAACCGTAACTTCCTTAAAAATGAATTTCAAAATATATAGAATTTGTGGAAACTTAATTTTATTTACTTTTAACCAGATCAGACGGCTAAATATGATATACTATACACCACCAGAGGACGACTTAGATATAGCATGATGTTTATAAAACTCAAAAATTAATAAACTTGTAAACAGTACATAAGTGTACGATAAAGAAACTTAATTGCCGCTGTATTTGTCATTTCAACTAATTTTATTGTAAAAAAAAATAATTAAATGTGATCAGGTGTATTACTGAAGCGTTGAAAGTTATCATATAAAAGAACTTAATATTTTCAATGTATTATAAAACATTCTAAAGTTGAGTAAACAAAATCACTCGCATAATATTTACCAACAATTAAACATTTTACAGAACATAAAAACACATTAAGATCAACTTCCTCTGACATATATTTTTGTTGTTCATAACACGAAGATCAACAAGTGATATGCATGCCAGACATAACCGTTACTCCTTTATTATCTCAAAATGTAGATTGCTAAATCTTTTACTTGACAAAAGTTGACTCATTTTCTTTTCTTGATTCTATTATACTTTAGATATATCGTTTTTTTAGTCTCATGTAACATATTTCAATATTAAATTAGAATATATTCATCACCACTTTACTTCAGTAAGTGCGCAAAGGGCACCAACTGCCTTCTGTTGAAGTGTTTTTCGATCGTTAAAAACTAATTTATGAAGAGCAGAGTTGATTAAATAAAAACGTCACTACTTTCATGTTTTGCAAGCTTACCTCCGGAAAGAAAATGTAGATATATATTAGCCTAACTACATTTAAAACAAAACAGAAGCCTTCTTCTTCCATTTTTAACTTGATGCAAAATACCTGGCCATTTGATTTTCCTAAAAACTAATTACTTCTATAAATTACTTTTATTAATGTTCAAAATGTAACGGTGTTTTTTATTTTGCTTTTAGCTCTACTGATTTTTCTTTTTCCTTTGCAACCAACCATCCAGTACTTCCAAGTAACAGTGAACATTCGTACTGTCTACCTTGACAGATAACTGGTGTCTTTAAACCTACCTTTCCTGTTATCTTAAAAACATCACGTCTTGATTAGTGCCTTGAGCAATCCTCATGACGAGTTATAAAACGTAACCCTGAGCTGGATATGGCATTTTACACTATCTGCATTAGAAAACTGGTCTTGGACGTGCACCATAAATACCAAAGTTTCGTAATGATGGCAACAAGACACGATTCATAGACCTCACGATTTAAAAAGGTGTCGACGTGAGGTACTGCTGTCCTAGATATGGGTTCCGGGAATGCTTCCCCCTCCCCTGCAGTTCTACTAGTTTAGTAACTCACTGAACTCAATAAGTACTAGGCCCCATTTAAAGGAAAAACATAGTTATTCCAGGCAAAAGCTTGGATATTAGAAACAAATGCAAAACATATAAAACTATTTAGGTGATGTGTAACCTTTAGTCGATACCGATTTTTACTTGTCTTACTTCAAATTATATTTGATCATAAAGCTGTGTAGATGTATTAAATATGTGCCTTGCCCTATTTATTCTGTCATTAGTTGTTAGCCCAGAAGAGTGATAGATTTTTCGTGCATCTAATACATGTATTAAATATTTTACCTTTACAAGCCAAGCTATATTCAATATAAGACACTTTAACGTATCCTCTTCAGTCCAAGTGTTTTTTGTTAAAGAAACACACACACACACACACACACACTTACTCTATAACAGAAGTACCAAGCTGTTTTAGGAAATATGACGTCAGAATTTGGATTTGCGAATTCTACACAATTTTTCATTTGTCAGTTTTGACATAATTTATAGTTTTAAATGTTTAGTTGGATTACTTATACAAATTTCTTGATTGGATCAGAGAGAAACTATTCGTGTCTATCTAGAACACATTTTAATAAAACATACAGAAAATGGAAATTTTTGTTAAAGCAGCATAGAAATAAACTGCACATTAATAGCCAGATCAAACTAAAACCAGTAAATTTTCGAATATCTAAGTGTCAGATTTAATGAACTCAGTATGATAATTATAAGAACTAGTGTGAATTTAACGACAGAAATCATGGTAACTACATCACGGTGAACCAATTCAAATATCAGTTTAAGATGCCCATCAAAACTGTCTAAACATTCGCTTTTTTTGAGAATGACTATTTAAATATCTGGAAGTACAAGCCTATAATATAAAATAATACAACTTTTCCTATACATGTCCAAATAAAATTATATTATTTTCAATTAGGTTCTTTTACCTGGATTGTAACTTATTGTGTCGTGTATATGAACTCTCATAGCTCTAGAATATATTCAGTACGCACTTTGAAGTTAAAAGCACTTGACTTGTATTTATAAGCTTTATAAAATTAGATACTTTCTGGAAGAAAAAAAGCAAATGAACCTACCATTCGTTAAGAGCCCTAATAGTACTATGAATCGTACAGTTCTAGATGTCATGTTTGTTGTCTACCTGGATACCTCAGAGAGTAGCAAGACGTTAATAACTAGGCGTGTTGGGTTTATATACTGGCCTACTCTTGACTAGAGGTTGTCAATTATCTTATGAGGACAAACCATAACCCAACTTTTCTTCACCGCGATTCGCTGTTACTAAACAAGACGCTGTCGTCATAAAGAATGTAGCCAATCACAGAGCTAAATCTTTTACACAAGTTCAATGTCTAAATTTCTAAGAGAAATTATTTCAAATGAAGTTCTGTTACTTATCAAGCAATGTGATAAATGTCAAATGTATTTTCTCCTATTTAGCGTTTGCATTTCATTGAAGAAAGTTGCCTTATGTAATTGTAAGTTCTCTTCGGACATATTTTTATCCTTATTTATTCGCAGTCATGTGACAAGTCACGTGGTGAAGTATTACGCAATGGGTTTAATAGATAAGATCAATTATTGTTTCATACGTTAAAAATTTTAAAAGATTTCACAACATTTAAACTGAATGTTTTCGAGTTTTGCCGGTATTTAGGGCATGCGAACATACATATAAATGAGATAACCATTAGATTATTTAAAGAGATTGAGATCTAATTAAATTGAGAAATTAATTTTGAAAAACAATTTCATGGCTCAGATTATAATTTACTCATTTCACTTATTTGTTTTAAAAACAAACAATAAATGTTATAATGTTATTTTAAAAAAATTAGTCATTTTCTACCATAACAAAAACAAACAGGAAAGGACAAACAAAGCTTTACAGCACCCTTAACAAATCAGAGTTTGACACGTAATGTCTGCACTTTCAAGAAAAACTTTTTATAAATCTCAGAGCTACGGCCGTCTTCAGTTCTAGTATAAAAGTAATTAAATTTCGAATTCTCAAAGACTTTTTCGAACGGATATCAAATGGAAAGTTTTCAAACTTAAAATATGCTCAGTGTTTAGTCGAGAATATATAATAACAGGAGCATAAAAGTTATCAATAAGAGAAATTTCTTTAGTTGTCTTGATGAAATTCTTTTGCCATTTCGAAGCGCTAAATCATTTTTGTAGCATTTTTAATAAGCTAGACTGATAATAAAAAGTCAGATTCCGAACCCTTATGTTGCATATTCATATTATATTCACAAAACTTTACCCTATTATCCATTAAGATTGCTTTCTTCTTTTTGCAGATTGCCCTCGTGTAGCTTTACGCGAAATTCACAACAAATCAAACTTTCTTCTTTATATTTCCTGTTTCATTTTGTTAGACAATTTTCACTATTTTTTATCTTATTAATAGATATTATCGGTTTATAGCAAACAAACATTTCTGCGTAGACGTGTTAAACAGCATTAAGAAAATTAGTGATAGAGTTTCTTATTGTAACAACAACAAATAAGCATTCTCCTAATGTACATAAATGTATAATTCCTTTGAAAAATATTTAACCAATTGTAACTGGGATACAAAAAAGAAAGAGGGAGCAGTTAACTGTGTAATCTTTTCTCATAAAATATTTGTGAAAGATGCTGTATATGTTTTACTGTGAACATAAAAGGAGGTAAGATATACATGTGAGTACACATAAAAAAATGCCAAAGCATACTCGTAGTCTTGTTACTACTTTAACTATAAGTCCATAAGACTCCTTCACCACAACTCCTGTTTCAAGTACCATAATTTGCTCTCCTCTTCCCTCCTCCATCCCAAAGCCAACCTCGCCGTCTCCATTTTTAACGTAAACCGCCCCTACATTAGTAAAATCGGAATAATTTACCAATCAGCTAAACCTCTACTCAGTTGGCAAATTAACTTCTCGCGCGGGATGAAGAGAAATTAAATTTTTTGAACATCCCTGGCGGTTTCTCAATACTTGACTTAGAAACTTTAAACCAAAATGCCTACCAGGTAAAAACAAACAGTATATGTTTTAACGTTACAGACTATCATTATTGTAACATCTAACTGAACGTAGAGATATCAGTGATATGTTTCTGAATCGGGAACAGTATATAATTATGATATTGTATGTACGATATGATCTTCTAGAGCTCTCCTATTATCTCCACAAATAATAACGAACGGATTTGTATATTAGAAATGGTTTTTTTGGTGAAGTTATTAATCGTGTAGATAACGATGAAGGGAGCAGAGAGAGTAAAAACATGTATTGGAAAATGTTGTCTATCATGAGAAAAGAATTAATTATTGGAATATTGTCCAAATATTCAAAATTTCTGAAAAAAATAGACACGTTAATAAACATCTTCCGTCTTTAGCTACTTGACATTCCGAAATTATTACTGTAACTTGTCAAATTATCTTGGTTATTTGGACTTTAAATAATTCGTCAGAACAACTTTATTCGAGCAGCTTTCGAACTGACTCTCTGGTTCCAAGACTGACTCCTATCATTATTATATTCCTTGCAGTTCAGACATTTAACATCTTTGCCCAGATATATAAGACACCCAAACTGACAAGAGAACATCAATATTCATACTTAGAGAGTAAAGATAATAAGAATAAAAGTTCTCATACATAGTATATTGTTACCCAAAGTGTAAGACTGTTCAACTATAAGTAAATTTCATAACTCTATTCCTCGTCTTGTAGAATTACTTACTGCGGTGGGAAATAAGTGGAAAGTAATATCAACATTCATAAATTGAAATATAGGCTGAATTTATTGTAGACTATATTGTAGGAAATACGGTAACTATAGTCTAAGTACAATGACTGAAATAATTATGAATTTCATTCTTCCATAACTGGTGTTGAATATATCTTTATTCAACTATATTCACATAGTATTTTTCTAAACTTACTTATAGTTTCTGGATGTAGTTATGACATTCTCGTTAATGGATGTCTCAAGGTCATAAACATGTAAAGATAAAGGCTACTTACAACAATTTTTGTTTTTAAATCTGAAACTAGCGTGTATGTATGTCTTTATAGATTTCTTGTAAAGCAACTTTTTCAAAGGGCAACACAGAAACCTGTACACCCGGCTGAAGATTGCGTGTAGACCATTGGTGGGAGGATGTAACATGTGGACTTGTAGGATACCTGACTTTCTTTGGGTATCTATAGTATTTAACTTAAGTATTTCCAAAATACTTTCGATTTTAATCTTTATTTCCACATACTTTGTCTTACCTACCACAGCAGACAAATGATACAGAAAAAGAACCCTGGCCAGCCTATGGAACAGAACCTTCTGTTTTCTGTTGAATAAAAAGATATTGTTTCAAAGTATGCTTGTTTTTACCTGTTTTCTTTACTGCCTGTGTTCAATTTATTAGTTACTTTACAGTCCTGAAATTGTGTTTTGAGGGAACTTTGACTTTTCTGTTGGATATCAGTGGACCTGAATACCACAGACTAGTTAAAAAGATATTTTGTTTCCATGGCCAAAGGATATGTCATTGTAAAGTTTATTTTCAAAATGACTTCTTTTTCTCTTGATTCTCTGGTACAGTAGCTTTTGTAAATCATGCTATAATAGAAGGTAACTTTCCGAGACCATATAAGACTTACAGTGGAGATAAGGAAGCTGGGGCGGTAGTGAAGACTCGGTTCACAAATATGACAAGGTTTAAGAAGAACAGTCTTATGAACCTAGAGAATTCACTAATTATTCTTAGAGTAATTACGGCATTCTCGATCCATCCTCAGGACCAAGAGGTAGAAGGGTGCCACAGAAGGTAACCCCGGACGTACTTAATGCAATCTTGAATGGTTACACCCCGTATGCAGGAGCAAAATACAGTGGGAAAAGGTAATAATAGTAGTGAGTGTCCCGAACATCCCAAGATTTACTGGGGCGACCTCTATAGGCCTCTTAGGTACTCGTAAACAAGGCTTGGCGTTGTAAGGCGCTTTGTAAAGTCACCAAGTGATGAAATTTGCAATCTGACAATAACATCAGACAAATCAGGTGGCATCTTACTACAATCCAGCAAGAGTAGGAGTTATCAGGAACCATCAAGGCCGGTAAGCATTCTAACAACACTCTAAACTGCTTCTGACAGCTGAGGACATTATGTGATATGAAAACAAAATATGAAATCACACATTAACTCGTTGCAGCCTTAGCCTAGATAGGGGTGAATTCTTGAGGATGCACATGTCTCTGGACCTTCAGTATAACATTCAGTGGTCAAAGACACAGTGAGATACGCAGAAAAGTGTGCAATCACTCCTGACATCAAACCATTGAAGATTTGGCCAGAGGATACCACATTCTTCAAAATGCACAAATCTCTTGACTTCAAGAAGAAGAGGACTTGTACTTTCATCAAATTTTCAATCAACTTACTGCTTGGATTGGATATACTCAATCATAGGAGGCGCAAGTCTGATTTTGAGTGTTGGGGTCCAGTACTCAATGGTATAGAGCATTTGAACAAGGCACGTTACAATGATTAAGACAATCATGTTAACAAATTGAGCTGTGGAGAGTTGAACAGCATAAATGACCAAGTTCAAAGCTCCAAAGACAAGGACCCCAGAGATCTTGGATATGCGGATGAGTTGAGAGATTATATAGAAATTTGAAGTCTGTTGAGGGGTTGCTGAGTAAATTCATGTTGCATTGTTGCATCACATGAGTGAGACACATTTTTCTCCTGGAAGTAATTTCGTGGCATGACAGTTAGAGGTCACATCCAGCTATAGCTTGGACCAAAAAAGAAAGCCAGTAGCAGTAGAAACTGCACCGTAGACCCTGCTCAAAAACAGCCTTCAGAGCTTATACAAACCCCAAAGCACCGACAATACATTGACCCATTACTCCGTCAATTCCACAGCAGTAAGTGCCACAAGACAACATGATACTGAAACCATGGTTCTCAATGGGTCAGCAGGATTACTCTGCCCCAGGATTCATGACCATCCCACCATTGCGGCTGGAGTTGTAATCCCAAAGTGTCATGAGCATCAGGGAAGAAGAAGTGTCTGCTTTAACTGTGATGTGCTTGATTATTGATTGCAGAAATGTCTCTATCAAATGTTCTAGTACAAACTTTATTTTCCGTATTGGCGAGAAGATAGAAAAGTGTGGAGATGCGTGTATCTGTCTTAGCAATGTTGAACACTGAGTGAA